AATTTGAAGAAAAAAATCCTAATGTAAAAATGTCGAGGCTATAATACTTTTCAAATTAAATATAAACGATTAAAGTTGACCAATTATATCGGCTAAAGTACGCGCTCACATACGTACGGTACAACACACAATGATACATGCATATAAGTGAGAATTTGCATAAGATATGAAATTAGTTGTAAATCTCTGAAAAAAACATCAAATGTGTCTTATTGATTCTCATAAATATATTGTGATATTTTATTCAAAACATTTTGACAAAATTATTATTATTTGCGATATGTTTATTTAAATGATAAAAAAGGCAGATTATTATTACATACGTTATTGTATGTATGGAACTTCTGTACGAATATTTTGAAAAGGAGCGACACGTACATGCAGTTGTACCCTTGTGTTGTATCGTACCTGAGCGCGCGTACTTTAGCCAGTATAATTGGTCAACTTTGATTGTTTATAATTTGAAAAGTGTTATAGCCTCGACATTTTTGCATTAAGATTTTTTTATTCAAATTACCTCAGGAATCCATCCTTAAGAGATAATACGGTAGTGGCAGAACACCCTGTATATTAGACATATATCCATGTTTATATATAATACATTTGTTATGTATAAAACATATATATATCCATGTTTTTTTCTTTGTCTCGCGAGAAATTATACATACAAAGTAAAAATAATTACAAAATAAAGGTTGAAATTAGCAAGTAATTACAAGTAATTGGCCAAAATTGCCAAGAATTGCAAGTAACTGACAAGAAGTACAAATAATTAACAACATGAACGTCGATAGTATAAATATACATAATATGAAGGTCGAACTAATCACGATAACATTAACAACGTGAACGTCGATAGTATAAATATACATAATATGAAGGTCGAACTAATGAAATTTTCTGGTATCTCAAGAGATCAATTGCGCTATTAGTTACAATTATATTATATATATATATATATATATATATATATATATATATATATATATATATACAGGGTGTCCCGTCACTACCGCATTATCTTTTAAGGGTGGATTCCTGAGGTAAATTGAAGAAAAAAATCCTAATATAAAAATGTCGAGGCTATAATACTTTTCAAATTAAATATAAACGATTAAAGTTGACCAATTATATCGGCTAAAGTACGCGCGCTCACATACGTACGGTACAACACACAATGGTACATGCGCATAAGTGAGAATTTGCATAAGATATGAAATTAGTTGTAAATCTCTGAAAAAAACATCAAATGTGTCTTATATAACATAATGTTTCTCGTAAGTATATCTTTGTGCTTGTGAAACGCGCAACAATATATACTCCACGTGAATTACGATAATCAAACTGTCATACGCATCAATAATCCCTAATGGCGTAAATGTAATCGTGCAGCGAATATCCTTAGCACACAGTGATGGATATCCTTATCAACGTTCACTTGCCTTATACACTCTTTGTATATTAAAATAAACGATGACACTTGAATGATCATTAAGTTCATTTAAGATCGTTACGTTCACGTTTACATGTGGCATATATAATATCTTTCTTTTTTCGGACAATCGGACTTCGCTCACTAACTATGCACATTCAGATCGTTGAATTTCAAATAAGACTTAATCAGGTATTTTTATCGTGAACTTATCAATAATCAATGAGAGAAAATTAATCCCGTTTTTCGTTTTCGTTGCCACCATTGAGCTCATTTGATTTTTAGCGGGTTATGTTTCAAACCTTTCTATGCGCAAAAAATCCAGGTTTCATCCATGTTTGTAACCGGTTTATAATCTTTTCTTTTCTTTTCAAGATTTTCCTGAGGCATCCTCTATTCGCAATTATGAATTGAGGATGGCGCACCCCGTTATTCAGGCAACGCACCTCCGGGACTTGATCTTATTGAACAAGTTCCCTTCACTTTTCTTTCTCCTTTTTGGTGATGCTTAGTAGCAAAAGTACAGAGTGATGAAATGACGAGTGTGAATCGTAAAGACGAAGACGCGTCACACATAGTAGGCACGAGTGCGAGCGGCTGCGTATGATAATACCTCACAGAAGGGAATGCTCTACCCCGCTTTCTCCTGAAAGTGAATTGCGGTCAACCGCAGGGAAATTCGCTCCCGCGGTTATATCATTGTTCTTCGAAAAGCTTCTGATCGTTTCTTCTAGGATCCTTTATGGGGTCATTAATTTCGGGCTTGACTACAGCTTTGCGAGAAAATATCGATCGGCCTTATCGCCGTATGCTTGTATGCTCAAACGTTCACTCATGGCAACGTGTACTATCATTATCGTGTTATTTATATCGGAATAGATTATCTATTTCATAACACACGCCCCACGAAGAAAGCCGGTCGCCGCGCACAGTCACATTTGGTGCCTGCCGTGCAGTGCTTGTTTACTTCATTGATTGCAAGTTATGGTTCATTGAGCGAAGATACGATATAGCATAATAGATCGCCGTGTGACGTTAGTCGTTAGAACGATAGGGTGCACAGCTATGTCGTTGGTACCTTAATTAACGGAGGGTGCGATCATTTGGGTAGACCGTTCGTATTCGTCTGATCCCTGGCAGTAGATACAACGAGAGAGGACGTTAACTCTGCGAGCTCATACTCGTTCACCTTGGTCCGAACTTGGCCGGAATCTGGTATTTTCCCTAAAAGGATCTTTGACCTAACATCCGGACGATGGCCAGCCTAAAATTCTAAAAAGAAACACGCAATGTGCATAGGTGCAGCGACCGTGTTCAACCAGTTCTCCTCTAATCGCGGTAGCTCGTTCACGTACGTCCCGATAATATCTCGCTATTTCAAGTCATCCTCGCGTTGTAAATTGACGCGTTTCCCTCCTTCCATCCTCCTTCCTAAGTTCCATCTACGCACGGAGCGATCGAGGAAGATTGCAGTACGACGACCCCGTGAGAGGACCCTCGTCTTCTATTCTATTTTGCATTTTTTATGCTTTATCTCATACTTTCTTTCGCTTTCGGAGACGGCGAGGAATCCTGATGATTCACCTTGACCACCTTTTTCTGTCCGTTTCAATTTCATCGGTGAGCTGAACTGGAGAATTAGCTAATATTAGGTCAGGGTGTATTGAGAAGATAGCATCGAAAATTAATTGAGACTAGTTCTCAGTAATCCCGTCGTCAGTCACTAGTTCTAACGCGCCGCCAACATGACTTTCATGATATCGTGGCAGGCTACATTTGCCAAAATGATTACACGTCATCTCATTCGGTTAAATCGAATGACATGACAAATAAGTTTGATAAATTGAATTTCATATTGCACTTTTAATTTACAATTTGCGAGTTTTGCTTCGAATAAAATTTCGTATATAAAGTACATCTCGATCGTAGACTTTTAGAGTTCTGTAACAATTCTCCCTCCTCCTTCTTTTTCTCGTTCTCTCTTTCCCTCTCTTCCTCTCATTCTTTCTCTCTCCCTCTTTCTCTCTCTTTCTACCTCTCTGCACCTCGCTGCGATCACTCACTGCAATTAAGAAAAAGTGCAGCTTTATGTTCCTCGTGTTACCACCTTATGCGATGACAATTTACACTCTCATTAGGAAGACCAAGGACGAGTGTAGAGTATGAGCATGACAATGCATTATGTTCCCGTCGCCATGCGCAAGTCCCTTAATGACAAAACACGTTGCTGCATCATCGCGAGACTTCGTAGTGTTGCAACGGCCCACAGCAAGATCCAATCTTCTTCTCGTTATATGAGCATTTAAACTCATCGAAAAGTGGAATAATAAATTCTCCGTACGATCGCGTGTACGTTGGCACGCGCGCGCGCCTTCTCCTTAACGAACCTTACCCTTTCACTTTCGTATTCTTCACGATATCTGCAGGACACGACATTATAAGCCGCTCATCATTACTATTGTCGTTGCATACTTAAATATATGAGTCATACGATATGCAAGAAGGCTGCTGTGTTCTAGGTTTCCTTTTTTCGTATCCGCGATTACGATTGTTTTCGAAACACCAAGAGGGCCGATCTTTTGTTTCTCAAAGAAAAGAAAAAAGAAAACCGACGTGAGAAATCAAAGCAGAAACAGCGAACTAATTCGTAACGTGTGTGTCTTCGCAGATTTACAAATTCAACATTCAAGATGTCGGGTATCGTGGAGTGGTACAGGGATTTAATGGACAAAGGACAAGGTAATTTACGAAATATTTTAGTACCGTAAGAAAAAGAGAAAAGAACAGCGAATATTGCTTATTGTTACTATTGTATGTTTCTGCAGATCCGAGAACAGTAGGATGGTTTCTGGTACCTAGTCCCGGCCCAACCCTAACTATTGTAGTGACGTACATATACTTTTGCGTTTCCGCCGGACCGAGATATATGAAGGATAAGAAGCCGTACGATCTGAAGAACACCTTGATAGTTTACAATTTCATACAAGTCCTTTTGAGCCTTTATCTGGTCTACGAAGGTTTGGTAGCTGGCTGGTTGAACGACTACAATTTCATTTGTCAACCGGTCGATTACTCGTACAATCCTAACCCAGTCCGAGTAAGTTTGACATTTTTAAGTTAGCACTAACGATGAATCAGAGTGAATGAAAAATTGACAATCAGATTTTCGAGAGGGGGTTCTTTCGATGAGTTGAATCGGCGTGTGTACCTTGTCTCTCGCAAGAATGAAATTAAGGGGATGCCGAAGTGGGTGACGAACTCACGAGAAATGTCGATAACACAGAGACGCGATTGTCACTGAAACAATCGTGTACTATCTCGTACTTTTATTTTTCGTACTTCTTGTATATAGATCTTACATAAATTATTGTTTGTGAAAAAATTCTTCTTGTATATAGACCTTACATAAATATGTGCTGCTTTGTTTTCCATGTTAATAGAAGATATTATCACGTACATATATAGAAATCTTTTTCTGTAAACTGTTCATATACCTTTGAGCTTCTACATTCAGTTGTATAGATACAGAAATGTTCCTTAAAATTTTCGTTAACGAAACAAACGTGCGGTATGTATAAGCTACAGAATTTACTTTTATCAAGTAGGTTATTAATAAAATAAATATCAAGTATGTCAAGTAAGGTATCAAGTAAATTTAACTGACGGTTTGAAATATCAGTTTTAAAATCTTTTATCGTTTTCCTCACATATTGAGCAATGCTCTAATTTATTATTGCACGTGCTTTCAGCGTATAATCCCTTGTCCACAACCTTGCTTTAATCTTTAAGCCGTAATAAATTGACCAACCACAGTCGATTATTTTAAAGATAATCAACTGTGATTGGTCAATTTCTTACGGCTTAAAAATTAAAGCAAGGTTGTGGAAAAGGGGTAAGAGTATTTTCAATTCCAAGTGCAAGTAATACGTTGTAAACTTTGTAGAGAAAAGTCAGTGTTTCGTCGGTAAAGTTTTCAAGTATGGCATCTCCTTAAGCGAGGATCTGTCGAAGTTGCGACAAGTCACTCGCGAATTTCATCCTCGCAAGATTTCCCTCGTGAAAAGCCAAGAAAGCGAAAGGTGAAAAGGACATCTATCGCTATAAGTTCGCCTGCTGCGAGATTAGAGATACACGTGACTTATCAAGTAGTCAATTAGAAGAGATTGCGTGAACAAGTGAGGAAGAGAGGAAAGGGAGGCCGCGACTCAGGTAGATCCGTTTCACACGCGTTTGGCGATCGAAATTCTTCAACATGCACGTTTCTGCGATTCCGAAAGTAACGGGTTAGCCGACGTCGTCGTCACGAAGGTTGCGACAACTTTAAACCGCTGGTGAATTGTGCAAATTCCGCGTCCGCGCGCTCAAGAGGTGAAGGAACGTACCGTTCTCCCCGGATGAAATGTCACTCGACAACAAATACAACTATCATTACGTTTCGCCTCGATCTTTATGTAAATGAACCGTTTCGCGCGTTGTTCGCAGATGGCCCGCGCCGTTTACACGTACTTCATATGCAAGCTGATCGAGCTGTTGGACACGGTGTTCTTCGTGCTGCGCAAGAAGAATCGGCAGATCTCGTTTCTACATCTCTATCATCACTCGTTGATGCCAGTGACAGCGTGGATTGGCGCCAAGTTCTTCGCCGGCGGTCATCCGACTCTACTCGGCGTCATCAACTCCTTCGTCCACGTATTCATGTACACCTATTACATGCTAGCCGCGTGTGGGCCGCACATGCACAAGTACCTCTGGTGGAAGAAGTACCTTACTGTTATTCAGATCGTGCAGTTCGTCATAATATTCCTGCACAATATACAGATGCTGTTCACCAGCTGCAACTTCCCAAAGCCGCTGTCGTTTTTGCTAACGCTCAACGCTCTCATATTCATCTACATGTTTGGATCGTTCTACGTGAATAATTATGTGAAAGCGGACAAACAGCGCGAACCAAAGGCAAACGGTTGCGCGATTGCCAATAGTGTGGCCGCCAACGGTTTGGCCGCCAACGGCTCGGCCGCCAACGGCTCGGCTGCCAACGGCTCGGCCTCCAACGGCTCGGCCGCTAATGGCGCCGCTTCCGATTTATTTTACACAACCAGTAAGAACGACATGGACCACGGTAAGTTCGATTAAAGGACTCATCGAGGACTTTCTAGGTCCTCCTAAGTTCGCGGCACCAACCGCGAACAAAAGAGAAAAATAGAGACATTTCCGATGGTCTCATCGGGGGCTGGGTCGGCACGCATTAGGTGATAGACATAAAATAACGCCGTAGACAAGATAACACGACGTTCTCGCGACCTCAGCGTTTATTCCGCCGATATTTCTGCAACGCGAGTTACGAAAGTAGGTTAGCGCATACCAGTGGGAAAAGGTGGAAAGATAGTTTCGGCATATCCGCGCCGTGCCGATCGCGCATGATTCCCGACTCTAACCGGATTACGCGCGGTCTGTGAGCGGCTTGATTATTACTCGCGTGAAATTAGTAGCCGCGTACCGACGGAATGAATGCTGAAAGCGCACGAGTCACTTAACGAGTTCGCGGAGACACGAAACGATTGTTAATAACATAACGTGACGGTTAATAATAGTGATGATTTTGTCTCGCGTGAGCCAACGTAGGTATTTAGGGTTTCTTTCTGAAGCACTCAAGCGCGAAAGACTCATCCCGCTCATCTCTCGCGCCGGCCTTCGTATCGTGCCATCCGTACGAAGTTAGTATCTTGAGCGCCGTCGAATTGATTGCCGCATGTACCAAGTGTCTCTCGATGACGTCGAAATTAAGCGGGATCCTCTCGTGACGGCGACAAGCCGTCCGCGAAATTCATCCTCTCGCGCACGGCCAACATCTTTCCTCGCAAGTCCCACGAAAGCGAAAGGTGAAAATGGCATCTATTGTAAGTCCATTTGCGCGCAAAAGGTGATCGCACCATCCCCGCCTGACACCGACGACGTGAAGAGATCGTTGAGACGTAATGCAAAATTACGGCGCGCGAACTCCAAAGAGGCGAACGTGCGCGTCGCGTAGCCTCGCGGACATGCACGACGTTCCACGACGATCGCCAGCGCGGTGTCGCCGTGCGGCACGACGATGTTTACTTCTTATCGGGTAAGGATAAGTCAGTTTTGCGCAGCAAGAGCGTATGCCGTATCTCAACGCCGTTATCGAGCTGCGCAGATGATAAGTTAGTTGACTGTAGAGAGTATCGTTACCACAGACTTCTATACATAAACTCATCGACATATAGTACTGGACGGAACATTCGGCAAGACTTCTTTGATCTTTCGTGTTGAGAGATCTAGAGAGAAAAAGCTAGATGTGTGGGCACAGATCTCTCTTTCTACTCTCTATTCATTGGTTGAATTTTATTTAAGGAGAAAGGGAATAGTATCGTATCCTTAAAAGTTGGGAACATACGTTACATATGAGTTACTACATATGATTACATGTTGTACGTGTAATACATATACAAGGTGTCCGGTAACTGATCGAGCAACCACCGTGTACGGGTAGAACGGGTCAAAATAATCATAAAAGTTATATACCATTTTAAAATTTTCTCAATATTTATTCCGTAATTAATTAAAATGTTTAAGCGAATGAGCTCACGAGAAACGGTAGGACATGCTCTGTGTATAAAAGAAATGGCTTACCTCTTAGCAAAGATGAGTAAACAGCTGATTTCGAGGAGTAACATAACGTGACGCTTGTTACTCCGCCTCGAAATTAGCTGTTTACTCATCTTTGTTAAGAGGTAAGCCATTTCTTTTATACACAGAGCCTGTCCTACCGTTTCTCGTGAGCTCATTCGCTTGTACATTTTAATTAATTACGGAATAAATACTTGTCTCTTTCTCTTTCTACATCTATCAATATGATTTCGGCACAATGTTCCGTTCACTATATGTCGATGTATAAACTAAACTACTAATACCCATATTTAGCGAGTAGTCGGAAAAATATCGAGCGGCCATCTTTGAAAGGACCGTATCATATAGGAGTAGTAATGACACGCACTATAGCATATTGCTTCCTCCCACTCACACATTGTCACTCAAGTCACGTATGTAAGATCCTTTTAAAGATGGCGGACGGTATTTTTCCGACCAAACAATCGTTAACTAAACTATACCTATTACGTATTAATACAGTCTAGATATTATATAGAAGTCTGTGGTCGTTACAAGTACGGTCGACATGATCTTGTTGAATATCGTTGTTTCTGAACACTTGCAAATATTAGCGCGAAAATCGAGAATCTAATGCGAAAATATCTGTGGCAAGTTGAGTGACAAGTGAGAGAAATAAGAAAAAAGAAACTGCTGAACAGAATCGCCTTTCAACTGTACGTCGGAATAGATGTATAAATACACTGAGAAAAAATATTTCAAACTTTATATCCCATAAATAAATTTTCAAGTATTTTTTTTAACCTTTTCGCTGCGGCGAAATCCAAAGTAAAAAGCATAGACGGTAAACATTCAGTCGTGACTGATGCTGTAGGCGGCGATACTTCTCTAATCTGGGAGTCAATCATGAATCTTTTCCCTTAACGTGAACTCGTGAAAAGTGAACATTTCTATATGCTTTTACATTTGAAAATTTTTACTTTTCACGAGTTTACGCTAGAGGAAAAGATTTATGATCGACTAGATTTATTTCACTGGTAAAGCAAAATGAGTTGTGCGCCTAAAGGCGCTTACAGCACTGATCAGGTGACGTGAGTTGAGCGCCTAAAGGCGCCTACAGCAGCGAAAGGGTTAATGTAGCTCACAGAAAAGCCACTAGAATACGATACTAAAACGATTAAGTAATATCATCGAAAACACATAATCAACCGATATAATATCGGTAAAACACACTTAAAAGAGAGGACAATTGGAATCATTGAGAGTCTATTAATAAGCAAGCAGAGAGAATAAAATCGATGTTGTACAGCTCGCAACTTGCATCGAAATTTAAACAAAAAATAAGAAATAGTGGCTTTAATATATTTCGTCGTTTTGACAGCCCAAATTTGCAATAGCACACAAAAAACAAATGGCGTAGCCATATGTAAGGCGTGATATGTTTCCCGTAAACTGGGCTAGATAAGGTCAAGAATAATAAAAGCACAAATAAAAGAGCACTATTTCGAACATCTGATGGGATTGTTTCTCATCTTTCTATTCTTAATCACGAAATATTCCCATGTATGTTTATAAGAGGGTATTATAATAAGACAGATTGCATATCTCAGTATGTAGGGTCGATGCTTCATTTATGGCTACTTTAAGAATTTTCGACGAAATAATCGCGTTTTAATTAAATTCCCTTCGTTATCTAAAGTCTTTAATTATTTTAATATATTATTAAGAATCTTTAAATTATAAATTTAAGACCAATAAACAAAATAAATTAAACACATTTTTAAAAAATAATACTTATGTCATAATTTCCGATTTCACCGTTTTTGATCACCATAACACTAGTTCTTGCCATAATGAGTGCCTGTTCTGGCCACATAATGAAATTGAGATTAATTTATAATAAAATAATTAATAAAAAAAGCATATGCAATTAAAATCATGGTTTAATGTTAATATCTTAATGTTAATATTTATTTTCAATAATTTATATATATATATATATATATATATATATATATATATATATAGTAAAAAGTTTTCTTTTGTGTTTGCTTATCTCTAAAGTTTTCTTTTTAGAACGATTTTTCTTATTATCCATCTAAAAAAACAAAAATAAGTGTATTTATAATGTGTAATTATGTATATATATAAAGTTTGTTTCTAGACAAATAGCTGTACTATACTTTTATAATTTTTCAAAGCACAATAATGAGGACCAGTAAAAACCAGAGCATGAATTTTGTAGTACCACAAATTTTATAATTTTACGCAAAAGACATTCGTTATTTTTGTTGGCTACAATTGGAACAACACAACAACCAGTTCTGGCCACACTATGGCCAAAAATAGAGCATTATATTAATACATGATCTAGTTTTTGACACCTATTATTTTTTCCTTAATAGGAATCAAATACGTGGTTATGCATATTGAGATTAACTTTTAGACTTTCCGTAAACCGATTATAGAAACATTCACTCACAATCATGTTTTTTATATAATAATTCTAACGTTTATCTCATCTCGTATCCTTAACGTTTTGCACAAGAAAATGCAATAGTTCGTTTACCTTCGGTTATAAATATTTAGTTAAAAAAAAAGAAAATTCTACATTCGTTAGCGAGCAGCGTGACCAATAGAAATATTGTAAAAACAAAATATTGCCACTTACATAACGCGAACATAAATCATAGACTAAATAATTCGAAAGATTCCTTGAAATGGCCACAAATGGAGCACCGACCTAACAACGTAATCGCGCTATCGTCATACGTTATGGCACGTATCGTAAAGATCAGCGTATTGGATGCTCGTACTTCCGATTCTTTCGTACTTCCTATTTCCGCCAAAAAAACTTTCTAATAAAAACCCGAAAAAGACAAGTGTTTAAGACGTGTACGTTTATTCAACCTGCCCTTTTGCGAAGAACGCACATGCATTCATTTTGAAACTTCATGCATACGCATATTTCACAATTAAAAATACAACATTTCATTATTCGACGGATTTTGATTTGTGTATCTGCAGTTCCATGACAAATAAAAGTAGAATCCTTATTTAAAGACAAAGTCTGAAAAGTTCAGACTTCAAGCTGCATCATTGTTTCAAGGAAGGCTACATTCTTTTGAAGTTTGCTCATTTTTCACATAAGGCGATGTCTTATGCTGCAATTCTAAGCAAATATATGAATACATCGTAAAGTCGTAGCTTTCGAATTAATCATAATGTTGGTAAAATTCACAAAACTTGGTTCACAATTAACAAATGTTGGTAAAATTCACATAACTTTATTGACAACTTCTAGATAGTCGTAAGATTTACGAGAAATTATAGATATTTACGAGTTATCGTATAACATACGATCCGCATAGAATTGCAGATCTCATTAAGTTCTTACGAGTCTTACGAGAACAAGTTACGAGTTTTACGATTTAGTCTAGAATTGCAGTATTAATCTGCATATGTATTGTATTAACATTATATAAATTATTAAGTAACAATAGGATATATATACAGAATGTTTCACACTCTCCTCCAGGCATTTTGTGGGGACGTAGAACAGATTGAGGTGAACATAAAAGTCCTATACCGTTTTGCGATATTCGCAGTAATTATCAAGATATTAATTGTAGAAAACTTGTAAATGATCATGCAGAATATGGTAAATGAGTTATAGTAGCGACGACTGCCATCGTGTATGTATACTTTAGGTCAAATTGAACAAAAAATCCTCTACCATTTTCCAAATAATCACATAGATTTTTAATTATTAATTAAAGAAGATTATTGCACGATTTTGCGTGATAATGCACTCATCTTCTTTAATTAATAATTAAAAATCTATGTGATTATTTGCAAAATGGTAAAGGACTTTTTTGTTCAATTCGACCTAAAGTATAAGTACACGACGGCAGTCGTCGCTATAACTCATTTACCATATCCTGCATGATCATTCACAAATTTTCTACAATTAATATCTCGATAATTATTGCGAATATCGCAAAACGGTATAGGACTTTTATGTTCACCTCAACCTGTTCTACGTCCCCAAAAAATGTTCGGAGGAGAATGTGAGACATCCTGTATATATATATATATATATATATATATATATATACATATTGTCAAAATTAATCATATCTGTGCACATTCTACTAGTCATAATACATTAATATTCATGTTGATTTTTGTCGTATCATTTTCTTCAATCGTATTTGTGTATAATATTGCAAGTCACGTCGCCTGTAATGGGAAGCGATGATGCGTCAGTATTAACCTTATTTAAACTAATCGTTACATCTTATTATAAGGCGCAATTTGCTTGTCTCTCTACCTTCGTGCATCTGCGCCGTAATCAGAGACAGAAATTGCCAAATATCTTAAATCTGGTTTTATTTATGTTAAAAAATTCTATTATTTGACTTCTAACCGGTTCTCTGTATAGCATCAACTGTAATATATATTGCTTCCTTTTATTCAGATTTTTGCCGTAACAAAATATGTCGAAACATTGATTCTCGAATATTATATAATATTAAAATTAAAGAATTTTTTTCGCGGACTTTTTCTTTTTAAATATGATTCGAGTGTACACGATGAATGAGTTTGCACTTATTGTATACAAAAATAGTAATCGAAACTTATTCTGAAATAAAGTACGTCATCACGATTTTTTGAGTGAAATTTTAATCAGAGTCTTCGATGAGCGATTTCAATTAGCGATTCGATTACTGAGACATCACTCGAAAACTCAAAAAATTCTGACGAATTATGTCAAGGGAATATTTTTCACCAGTGTCAATGTCTTAATTGTACAATAAAAATTATACACAAAACGGTTTGGACGATTCCTAGCACTGAAACTGCAGCGTTTCAAAATATTAAAATTGAAAGGCATTGCTGATGCATTTGTGTTTGAATCGGTTATGATAATAATTGAAATGACGGTACAGGATGTAAAAATAAATTTAAGATAACCTGATGACATTATATTTCACCAGATATTTGTTCCACAGATTGTTCATTATCTTTCATGTTTCACTAAATATTTGTTTAATCCAACAAAATTCTTTTTTCCGTATATAGAATATAATAAACAAAGTGCACCGGACATAAAAATATATTTCTGCTTTTGTGTTTCATTTAATATCCGATGAATCAGTAAAAAGCTCTGTCCAATATCCAATGGAATGAATAAATAATAGCGGCAAAGAATGCGGAATAAACGATAAATTTACATACAAAAGTTCGTATACATTGTTATCATTAACCCCTTAACCTACGATTTACGTTCCAACAGCCTGGATCCAAAACGTAAACAAGATCGCGCAGCCTTCGAACCATTCCACGGTTCGGCAAATCGGTCCTAAGTTGTACCAAACGCGCACAACTTACGGAATGTAAATACATGTGTAAGATACAACTGGTTTAATTTTATGCCAAGAGTCATCGTATAGTTCCAGATTTTTGGACTATTTCTTATTTCTTTCCAAATCCAGGGCTCTGGTAGTTGATCTTCGTCAGAGGTATCATCAATAACTAATCGCTTGCATTTTTTTCGTACAGAACGTATAATGTCACTACTGTCACTTTCGGTAACAGAAGTATCAACATAACTCTCACTGTTCTCATCACAAAATCTTCTTTTTGAAAACATCTTGTAGGGATACTTCTCTAATATTTAAGAAAATATATTTTGACGTGCGAACGTGACCAAGAATAACATGTAACTGATTATGATACAAAGAGATAATAAAAATCTATCACGAGCCTTGTCTGTGCTGTTTGTGGTGGGGCAAATTACAAACCGCGACCGTCACACCACGGGCCATGCCCGTGATATTTACATTTGGCCCGATCATTGTACCAGGGGCCATGCCCGTAATATTTACATTTGGCCCGACCGATGTACTACGGGCCAGGCCCGTGATAATCAGTTTTGGCCCGAATACAAGACCACGTGTCTCACACATAGTTGTAGGTTAAGGAATTAATATATTCAATGTTCACAAGTTGCATGCAAAACGTTTCATAATCACGTCATATCCATTTCAATCATATCAAAGATACAAAGTTTAAAGCATTAAGATGCAAAATGGCCGTTATATTACTGCGAGAATTGTTTTTTATACAATCGCGAGCTTAGCCGCAGAACTACAATGTTATTGTTATGTGAAATATAACGACTACCCATACAATATTTATAAAATACAACAGCATACAATATTTATAAAATATTTTAAAAATATAGATATTAAATATTTTGCTAATATCTAAATATCCAAAAAATTCAAGCATAAAACAGGTTATGTTAAATATCCAAAAAATATTTATAAAGAATATTTTTCATAAAATAATTAAAATATGACTTTACGTAAGAGAAAGCACATAGCAACGATGTGTCGTTAATAACTGTCTAGTCGTCATTGCAGGCGATCTTTTGTAAAGAGTTATACGTAACGACTGTGTAACCGCATAATAACTTGTACATAAAACATGTTTGATACAAATAGCATTGACAAACGAATACCTGAGTCCAGTCGAAAGAAATGCGAATAATAAAAATATCACATTCGGTTACTATCACCTTCGGTTACTTGTTACGATCGTGTATTGGCGAATAAACGTATTTAGACAATTGTCACGGCAGCAAACAGACAAACAGTTTTATTCACGAAAAGTTCGCGCTACGATTACACGGAAACGATAGTATCGCCGCTGGCAGTACATATCCTTTCTCGAATGTCGGTCATGATTGCTGCAATGTTCCATCTGACATCTTAACGATGTCGCGATGTCTGAACATTGTGAGTGCAATTACGTTATAATTAACTGCAATTATCTGGGGAAAGATAAAACTAGAGGAACACGTGCCCGCCAGTAATTACAGACATGAAACATTTTTGGAAATTTGCCATATCAGTTGTAAGAACGTCGACCGAGATTGGATAGATCAACGTTGCACGGAGTGCTGAAACGTTATGAATCTTTTCTCTGTAAATGCGCGTAGAATATATGTTTCCCGGTAATATTATAATATTGCTAAAATAAATAATCGATCGTTTACATTGTATTGGTTGTGTGCGTTGCAAAACGTGTATGAGTCTACGTAAAATATTTTTCTTCATTATATTGAATACTGTAAAATACTGTTTCGTGATAAAAACAATTATTCTTTTTTTTCTTTTTTTATTTAAAGATACTACGCACATCGAATTAACAATGTATAAAAATAATGTCTATCTTCATAACCTCTCAACTGTATAGGAATTGTTAAGCCATTGTTAAGTCGATTGATCAAAGTTGCATCATAAATACTGAATATTCGACATTATTTCAACGTCATGGGCCGAAGAGGTCAACATTATACGGTAGGAAGTATCGATATGACTATTTTCATGAAATGTATTGCTATACATACTGTGTACGTATGGACGTTGCTTTCTCATTATTTATTTACTCACGGAACTCCTTTATAACAAATGATTACAAAATTGGTGTAAAAATTACATCAAATTATCAAGTTACAAATATAATATTTAATATAATATAATATTTATGGTAATGGGTAATAAACTCTGCAGAATAAAAAAATCTGTCCGTGATATGTTCAAAATTTACGAATATCAAAATAACGGTCCGTTTGAAAATAATAACCGAGGGGGAAAAATAATCGCAAGTTTGTAACATTTGACATGCAAATTCACATGTCTCATTATAATACAATGAAATAGAAATAGTTTGACGAGGAGAAACGTAGGTCTGGTAGCTGTTTGGAGAATTTCACAGTGATTGGTTGTGTTGAAGGAGATTAACAAAAAAGAAATCAGTAACTTATCTAACTAAATAAATCATGATTTAAGATAACCATTTTGAGGAACAATTAGCAACTGTGGTTGAATCAAAGAACAAAGGAAACAAAAAGAGAAAAAGAAAGTTAGAGAGAGAAGGAAATTTTACGATTTTCGTCGAAATTATTTGCCGACATCGAAACGTAAAAAAAGTATAGACGAAAAATTAATTAAGAGCGTACAGATCTTATAATAAGAAAGCTTTATATAAACGAAATTCGAATTTCACCGTTACCATGGTTATTCTACATAAAATAATTAAACTGTATAAATGGTTAAACGAGGATTTATCAGGTTAGTATGTTTCACATTGTGTCAAGTTGTGCTTAAAAATCTGGAATTCGTTGTCCTTCTAATGAAAAAATAATATAAACGGATTTGCGTATATAATAGATAGTTTTTCATCTTTATTCGTGATCTATTGTACTACTTGTTGCGAAAAATCGTGGCGTACGTCATTAAAAGGTGATAGATTATCTGCTATCTATTACGGAAATGTGATTAAAATACTAAGAAAACATTTATGAAGAACATTTCACGTTGTTAAGAGACTGTTTTCACTATACGTCGTTATTTCTTATGCAGATATTAACAAACGCGTCGTATTTGTTTTGCACACGTCATAAACGAATGAACGTTTTAATTCAAAATCAGAATATACAAAACGTGATGATCATTGACGTAACACTTGTGTACGGATAGAACGCATAAAACTGAACACGACAATCTTCTATTGTATTAAAAATTTTGCAATAATTTTAAGGAATTAATTAAAGAGTATTAATGAATATGAGAGCGCAGATAAACGTGGGAACAGCTTTTTAGACAAGTTTTTATCCAAAATGTCTTAAATTTGTTACCAGGAGATTGCCAATAGATTTGACAAAAGTAAACCTTTAAATAATTCCTTAAAACTATTGGAAAATTTGCAAGACAATGAAGGACTGTTAACTTATCAAATATTCTGTATAGATAGCATATACAGATGATCAAGGCAATGGGATATTGATATTTTTATTGCGTACGAAATTAGCCATAAAATTATCATTGTGCATTATCGATCGTGTAATTATACAAGCTATTAACATTTAAATTGTTAACTCACTTAACTCATTTAACTCAATTATATCTAAGCGTTTCAAATAACTGTTTAAACAATTTCACTTATATTTGAGATTAATACTTATTTAATAATATTATTTACTTTTTCCAAAATTACTTTTTTTTATTCCGTAAATTTTTGATAATTGAAAAGCTAGGACAGCTGTCTTAGTAATAGAAAATCATATTCTCTTTGATATTAATTATAAGATGTAATATGTACATATATATGCACACACACACATATGGGAAGGTCGGGTAGTAGCGGACAGCGGTTAGTATCGGACAAAAGTTGTTTCAAGTATTTGCCGCTGAAGGCAGCACCTGTGAAACAATCGGCGTGTTGACTGAAGGAGGGAGGTAGTCAACTCCTTCAGTCAACACGCCGATTGTTT